CATTGTGCCACCAAAGCACCTTAAGTACTCACCTAGCTATTAGAAACAGAGTTGGAAGATGGCCAAACTGAAGACTGTGTAAAAGGAGCAACAAATGGGTGGATGGGTGGAAGTGGAAGGAAGACCCAGAGTAAGTTGTTGAACAGATGTTAAATGCTGGCATCAAGGTGTGTCTCAAAAAGGCACAGTTATAAAACCAATTCAAGAAGATGTGGCCATGCTCCTGATAAAGTCTTCTGTTTCCCCCAGGTGGAAGCAGTTGAGGCATCAACTAGTAACTATTGAATTCAGGGAAAAGTGCCATTGATAATCCAATCCCTCTTGGCAGTGAGTAGGTTAAGTGTATTGTCTTTGACCTCAGGTAAAACGCTTCTCTAAGCCTCATTTTCCCAACCTGTAAAATGGGGGAAAAAATAACTACCTTAAAATAACCTGTCTAATCTAAGTTTTTAATGAGATATTATGCATACAATAGTTTGTAGACTGTAAAACACTATTTAAATGTAGAGCGTAGAATGAAAAAAAATATATAAGCAAATGTGAAATAGTTAAGAATAAAGAAGAATTCAGTGCTCTAAATTTAATAAACTTCCATTCATCATTGTTACAAATTTTTCACATCGTATTTCATCAAAACCTTTCTTCTTCTCCTGTGTTCAATGTTAATTGCATGGGATTTTGATACACCTATAGTTTATTTCACAAATAAATCCCAAATTTAAGAGAGCCACAGAATAGGAATACATAATCCATTTGAAGGAGGAGAGATTCCTTTCCTAGCTTTTACAGTGCACCACTAATAGAGTCATAAACCACTTATAAATTCTAAGTTCAGAAGTTCAAACCCACCAGCCACTCCCCAGAAGAAAGATGAGGCAATCCACTTCCATGAAGATTTACTGCCTAAGAAACACAGTAGGGGTTGTTATGAGTTGGCATCTACTCAATGGCAGGGGGTTTGTTTTTTTAAAGAAACAAAAATATTAATCTTCAACAACCCTTCCTTTCCAGTTTGGTGCACTTAGAATCCCAATAATGTGTTTGTTTGCCCATAACTCCTCCTTAGCTAAACTGAGAGTCTAAATTTGCCTTATTGTGGTGGGTTTGTACTGGTTTTGACAAAGGATTTTCAATTCATCATGTTTTTGCCTGTATTAAACTGAAATCATTTAAATTTGAAATGAACAAATTACTAAAAGAACTCACATTTGACAAGCAGAAAGATTATTTGCTTTATACCTTGATGCTGAAATCTGAACAGAAGTCTTCAAATTGATTGTTTAAAAATGAATCCATCAAATTTTCCCTCAGTCTTTTCTAATGTTAAAGGTCAGAAGCAATTCAAGATCTTTTCATTTCCCATGACTCATCATCTCCTGCAGAGTTTAGTGCTATATTCCCAGACTGTCTGTTCTCTTTGTTGAAAATCCTCTTTACACCACCCCACCCCCGCCTTTTTTTTTTTTTTGCTGAGGCTTTCAATTTGTTATATCTTGAAGTGACAGAAGAAGAAAGGATTGAACTCCCAACCTTTGAAACCTCTTAATACTTGCTGAGTGATCAAGAAGCAGAGTGAAATACTGATTAGACTTTACCCTGTCTGGAAAAGTCTTTGCTTCCATAGTTTAATCAGCCTCATTTTAAGAAATTAATTTTTATTTTGCTTAAAATCCAAAATGTTTTGGAACATTTTCCAAAAGGCAAAGCCAAAGGTCTATAGTTAGTAGTCAGCTTGAGAGAAGCTTTATTTTTCAGACTTCCTTTAAAATAAAATCATTTTGCATAATATATTTAATTGTTATTGTTAGTTGCCATCAGTGGATTCCAATTCATGGTGACTCCATGTGTGCAGAGTAGAACTGCTCCACAGGGTGTTTTGGTTTTTTTTATTGTGATTTGGGTGAAAATTTACAGAGCAAATTCACTTTCCATACAGCAGTTCACACACACGTTGTCTTGTGACATTGACTACAATTTACGACAATGCAACAGCTCCCCTCCGCTTCCTCCTGATAGTTACCTCTTCCCTGTGTCCATCCCTCCATGCACTCCTGCCTCCTGAGCTGTCTCCCTGTCCATAAACAACCCTTCTTTCTCCTATGATTGTTCTCTCCAAGGAGTGTATCTA